CTGCTCATGTCTCTCCCCTGCCCAAAGGTGGGGTAGGATGGGGGCTGTGGAGACTTTGGCTGTGGACCTGAGGATGGCTGGCAGGAGCATCGTCTGTCATCCGCTGTCAGGCGAAGTGTGGCCACCCCTGGGTGATCCCGCACCGGCTTGATTTTACAGCCATGACTGGCACTTGAGCCTGTTTGCCGGGGGCAGGGGGCACACGGGGCTGTCAGCTCACGGCTGCCTCTGACCCCGTACGGGACACCATAAATCTCCCAGTTCAAGGCAGCCCGGGCTGTTCTGGACACAGTGCTGTTGAACGCGGTGTGCGGGATAACACGCGGCCCGACCCTGCGCCCGCCGGAGGTAAAGCAGGGGTGGCCACTGGTGAGCAAGAGCGGCATCTGGGAAAGAGACAGTGCCTAAATTGCTTTGATTTTTTGTATATAAAGAAGTGAGGATTGTCTGAATTTAGAGCATCGGGAGTATCTAGCGCTGCCTGCTCTGGTTTTGCCTGGTTTTCCTTAGGCAATCCAGAGGGGTGGATACGGGGAGCTGCCTCACCCGTGCCGTGGCACATCAGCTGTTCACACAGCTTGACACGGAGGGTTTTTCTCCCGAGCGTGTGCTGGACCGACGAGCTGAATGTGCAAGTGTGTGCTGCCCATGGAAACCTGCCCCTGCTTCAGATGAACACCTTCAGTACCCATCCTGCCCATTCCTGTCACACTCCTGAAGTCTTCCAGTTAAACACAGGCTTGGCCCAAGACTTCTTTCTACATGTAGGAAACCCCCTCAGAAACATCCTTCCGGCCTTTTGCACCAAGAAAAAGGGAAGGAAAATGCACAAGGGGCTGATTTTGTGGGAAATTTTGGCCAGAATAAGGCAGTTGCCTGCCCTGTGCTGTGCTAGGTCTGACCATATTGATGCAGGGGTTGCTTTTCTCCGTGAGCCCTGCAGGGCCAGCCCAGGGATGGGGCAGTGCCCAGGCTCCCCTGCCGCCTGCAGCACCCCTGCGGCAGTGATGATGGTGGACAAGACCAGGTGAGGCCCCCGGGAGATCCATCCCCGGAGGTGACTGTAGGCAGCGTTTTGGGGTGAAACGCTGAGTGTGCGGTGGGGAGAGGTGGGGGCCATGTGTGTCCAGGGTTGCTGGGTGCCTGAGCAAGGGGCAAACTGCGCGAGCTGCATGTCAGTGTGTGTGTGAGAGAGAAACGTCCTGTGACTGCAGCTGGCATGTGCTTATGCGTGTGAGGTGGGGGGTGTGTGTATTTTTGGGGTAGGGGTGAGCAAAGAGGAGCACGTGTGTCTGTGCTGGGGGGTGCGCAGTGTGTGTGTACAGGGTTGTGTGTGTGTAGGGAGGCCGTGCGTGTGAGGGGTGTGAGTGGGAAGGAGGGGGCTGCATGGGAAAGGCTGTATGCATGTGCAAGCTGCGTGTGCATGAAAGGGTCTGCGCGGAGGGCCTGCATGGGTGTGCGTGTGAGGGCTGCGTGCATGCATGTGCGTGTGCAGGGGGGCTGTACAGGCGTGCGCAGGGCTGTGTGTGTGTGTGCAGGCGGGCCATGCACGCGCGTGTGTGCGTGTGCGGCGGTGCAGC